TCAAGCTGAGGCTGTGTAATTTTTTTTATAACAGCTTCAGTATCTTCAGTTCCTCTGTTGTACATCCTCATTTCACTTGCTTTTTTGAGCAATGACAGCCACTGTGCAGAAACTTCCCTGAGCTGTTGATAGTGACTCCCAGGTCTTTCCTGAATGACAGCAACTTGACAGTGTACATGAGGAGTTTAGATCACTTGCTTCTAACATTTGTCAGCACTAAATATACCAGCTACTGTGCCACAGAGGAAATGTTTAGCCCTCGGTTTCTTTGCTCTCTAATTATTAAGTGATGATGGTTCTGGTTGGTTAGGTAGCAGCTATTGGGGAGATTGGGTGATTTCTGTTTTATCTTCTGCTGGGATAATGGCAGCAACCATAGTCTTAGAGATGAAATAATGGAAGCCAGTTGGGGATGATGATTTTAGGACAAGGAAAACTACTACAAGTGAAGCAGCTGATCTCCCTTCTCTCCCTCACAGGTATCTGTGGCTCGTGTGCTATGAACATCAGTGGTGGCAACACCTTGGCCTGTACTAAAAGAATCGACACCAACCTCGACAAAGTCACTAAAATCTACCCTCTGCCACACATGTACGTGGTGAAGGATCTTGTTCCAGTGAGTTCTGCATATGTTCTGATTTGTATAATGAAAGCTGACTGTGTAGCAGTCTGATTTTTGTAGTGAGGGAGGATCATCCCAAAATTATACATCCTTGTACATAATGGTTTTCTAAGAACATTTGACAGTGGTGTGTATCGAGGTGGAGTAATGTGAGTAACTAATTCCCAATTCTTCTGGCTTCATAGCCAGTGGTTAACCTGTGGGTGTTAAACAAGTTGGTATACAAAATTTACATTTCTGCCTGATTGTTGTGGCATAATGTTAGATCTCTCACAAGCACAAGCCACAATAAATAATGAATATGCCAATTCTTCTGTTTCTTAAACACAGGACTTGAGCAACTTCTATGCACAATACAAATCCATTGAGCCTTACCTGAAGAAGAAGGATGAATCCCAGCAGGGTAAAGAGCAGTACCTGCAGTCCATAGAAGATCGCCAGAACTTGGTTATTTCTCCCTTTTTTTTTTTTTTTTCTTATATTCCTTTAATTCTTTCCACATGAGAATTAGGTTAGATATTTTAATAGATGGTGGTCATGCTCAAGTGAGGGCAGTTCCTTAGATCAGCGGTTCCCAATCTATGGTATGGGTACCACCAGTGATGTACAGACAAGCTGTCAGTGGTACGTGTTAACAGATTTATTATAATTACTTTATATGATAAAAATTTGCTGGTGGTACTGAAGGTTGCATCCTTTTAAATTGGCAGTGTGGAAGCTGTCAGAGTTTGGTTCAGGTTGGAGTGTAGAATCATCTCCACTCCATGCTGGAATCTTGTTTTCAGAGAAACCGTATGCTGTGGGATCTTCTCCCTGGAAGGTAGTACAATGTTCTTCTTTGGGGTTATCTGCCCTGGGATTTTGCATGATGTTAGGACACGACCCTTAGGAGTCATGTTCAATAATATGATGTAAAAGGCAGCATAGGTGAGGAACTTAAGTCATTTGCCTGTACTAAGGCTTTCCCCCCACTTCCAAAGAGGCATGACAGCACTTTCATTCATTATGTGAAAACAAGGCACTCCAGTCCCTATCTGACACAGGTTGGCAAAGTCACCACTATATTCCCCAACCTTGGGAACAGACAAGGTAAAACCATTGTGGTATACTGCAGTTTGTCTCCACTAGAATTTTAAAGCAAGCTAGCAAACCGCTTAAACTACACTTTTTTTTTTTTTGCAATTAAAACAGCCACGGTATTAACTTGCATTTAAAATTGTTCCTGACCATAAATCCTGTGAGCCCCTGCCTCCTAACTTGGTTTCCAGGATGGTGTCAGTCTTTTGGAAGCTAATCTTTTTTCAAAACTAGAGGAGAGGGTTTGGTATTTAAAGACCCATTCAAGTATTTATAGAGTGGCTTACATTGCCAGCACATTTCTGTATGCATTTCCCTTGTGGCTACTGTAAGTATATTTACTTTCCACCCCTCCTTCCCCACTTTTGATGGATTTTGAAGTCAAAGTAAAATTCTGTATAGGAATATTTGCAACAGCCATAGCTGTGGACTGAATTTCTTTAAGCAGTGAAAGACTTTGGTTCAAACTGTAAATACTCTTTTTTTTTTCAAGGTAAACTACCAAGACCTTACTAAAAACATGTGAGAAGGAACAAGATCTAACTTTATAAAAGAATAGCTGCAAAACTATTTTTTACTGTGCATCTCAATTTTTTTTTTTTTTAAATTAAGCCATCATATGACTGTTAATAATGTCAGTGGTAGCATGAAAATACCATGACTATTTTTTTTTTTTTTTAGCAAAACCTAGAATTGTTCTGCTTTTGAGAACTTCCCATCCAGTGGTTTACGACTGGATTTAAAACTGAAAAGGATACAGTGGAACTAATTGTAAGATGACCAAGTGGAATACATCCTTTTCAGCTGTGTGTTCAAAAAAACTGTTAGCAGTTTTCTTTCCTAAACTGAAAACTTCATGTCCAGTGCTGTGCCAGAATTTGATTCTCACTTTCAGTATTTGTGGACTACTGTCTTCAAGATTTCTTATTTTGCATTATGCAAAATAAATATAAATTAAAAGTCACTAGACCTAACTTTATGCAGAACCACAAAGGAAACCTATTTTCTTCTAATCAGTCATTTCTAACTAATTGCTGGTAAAACTTCTTGCTCCATAATTTTTATCAATTAACTTCAGCTTGATCTGTATACTGTTTACGTCACCTTCTAGAAACTAAAGATTAAATTATTTGAAAAAATATAGTTTCAGGTATCTTGTATCCTTGTAAAAACCCATCTCTTCCTGCAGACCGATCTTATTACTCCTCTCTGGCAAATGTTGCCTGATTATTGTTATTCAGAACCTTTTAGCTGTGTAATCCACTACAAGCAGGTTTATTCCTTTCAGAGGAAGCCTGGGTGCAATGAAGTCTTGAAGCAATACTCAGAAATGTAGTTTAAATAAAATGGGGTAGCATCCTTTCACTTAAGTAACAGTAACTTTTTTTTTCTTGTCTTTCCTATCGGAGAATGTTATCTGACTTCTGTCTCTTGAGAGCTCCACTGTGCAATAATCGAGTGTGGAGTTTCTATATAGTTGTTCCTTCTAGTGATACATAGAGCCCAAAAGCCTTGCTGGGCAGTACTTCCCCTTCTCTTCTCATGGCCCTGGTTAAGAGACCCCAAGTACTGTGATCAGCATGGAGGTGACTGAATCATACCTGTTCATACAGCTTGCCAAACTTGTGATGCTCCAGAAAATCGTTAAAAGCTCTGACTTGAGTGCTTTTGTACAAAAGCTCTCCTATATTGTGGGTGGCGAGGGAGGGCAGGGCTGGCATGAATCCTTTGGATTTGTACACTCTTCCTTGATTGCTTGTGGGATACATCCTATCACATGCTAAAGTATCAGTACTTCTATTCTGTGCTGGCAGCTACCACTAATGCCTTTTCCTTGGTAACATTGCCTGGAGCTGTGGTTCAAATTCTGCATCCTTTCCTTTCCTTGAAAGCTTATTGGAGCCTACCAGAGACTAGCTGCTTGCGGGGAAATGAACATGGCTTTCTCTTGCACTTCCCCTTCTCTACTAGCCTAATTGTTTCCACTCTCAACAACAGGTCTGTCTTCAGTGCTAGAAATGGAGGGTCATAGTGTCCTGCTTCAGAGGGCCAGCTGACAAGAACTGTCCTTTGCAAGCATGTGAGAACTTGCACATGAGTTGAGGAAGGCAAATCACCTGTCAGAACAGTTGTTTCCTAGGTGGTCTTGCACTGCTGACTGTCTTCTCCTCCTCCCCTTCCCTGCAGGATGGGCTGTATGAGTGTATTCTGTGCGCCTGCTGCAGTACCAGCTGTCCCAGTTACTGGTGGAACGGAGACAAATACCTGGGCCCTGCAGTACTGATGCAGGTAAGAGGTGCTGATTGTTTAGTGAAGGGCAGAGAGCAAGCTTGGTAGGTAGGACTGGCTTTTCTGGCTCTTCCTCCTTTCTCCAAAGGTAGCAGAAATGCCTAGCATGCCGCCTCTTTAATCCCTTTGACAGGGGACGTGTTTACCACAGCAAAGGGGACTTAGCATGTGGCATCAGATATGTTAAAGAACAATTGTGAGAGCTCCCTGTGAGAGTGCCCCTCATTTCAGTCCTGCTTTGTTCACCACCTGTGATTTGGTTACCCACTCCTTGATTTGGGTCTGTTCACTCCTGCCTCCTTGGGTTGTGCTGACAGCACCGAGGATCCTCGGGTGGTCTCCCCACCAAGCACTAGTCAGGCCCAGGACTGCTTCGCTTCTGAGATGACAGACGGGTGCATTTGGTTCAGTGCCACCTTCAGCTGATAACTTATATTAAACTATATTTAATGTAGACAGATGGGTACTATAACAGGCCCTGAAATATACTACTTGGGTGTCAAATCCTGAGATAAGCTGGCACAAACTCACACTGGTTTGGTCTTCTGGATTATAACCACATTTACTTTGGCTGGTCTTTACTGTCCTATAGAAGGTCTTGTTCCTGGCCTGTCCCTTTCCAACCCCCAAAAGTGTCCTGACACCACAGTATGACCAGCTCTAAGACATCCCTTGTTAGGAAACCTGGAGTGAGAGACTGAGCCCTCTTGTATTCCAGTCTCGGCACAGAGACAATTCTAGTAGTGATGGGCATCTCTCTCACTTTTTCTCCTTGCATTTCCTTGCCTAAAGTGTAAGTGCATCTCGCTGAGCTATGATGAAAACCAGATTTTAAAGCGTCTTGAAATGGCCCAATTTTCAAGCGTTAAGTGGCTTTTAGTACATCCTGTCCATCATGCTACATTACAGAGCATATTCCACAAATGGAGAGAGCAAATTCATCACTTCAAGTGATGACAGGTCATATTAAGTATTGCAGTGTCTCCAAGTGTGTGTGTGATTTATATAATTGCTTTTAGTCACAAATCACATCCTTGATTCTCTGGCCTTCTAAAGAGAACAGTAAATGATCTGAACAATACAACATGTTAATGGCAATGGGTTAGATTCTGTACTGAAAGCCCTAAATTAAATCCTGCTTTTGATATGGGACTGTAATTACTTTGGATGTAGGAAAGGCAGCGTACAGTAACGATGCTCTGGGTTTCAGGCATATCGGTGGATGATCGATTCCAGAGACGACTACAGAGAAGAGCGGCTGGCACAGCTTCAGGACCCATTTTCCCTCTACCGCTGCCATACAATCATGAACTGCACAAAGTCCTGCCCCAAGGTGCATTCCCCACCCCCAAATCCTTGCTAGGGCAACTGGAAAGCATGTGCAGACCGTGTGAGCTGTGGGATGAGGAGGGAAAAGTACCTCTGGGTTTTTAGGCAGTTAGAGTGAGCACAGTCCCTTCTGACTGTGCCCTGGCCTCCGAAGTGCACTGAGCGCTCAGCAGCTGTGCTTGTGTGGAGATCAGCAATGCCTGCCACATGACAGACGGCGCACAGAAGCCCGTTGTTTGTGCTAAAGATTAACGACTTCTTTACTTATGAATGAGGGTCACGGGTGAGTTGTTTGGGGTCCTGTTGTAGAGGCTTTCAAACTGAGGTCTGTGGCCCATTGACTGGTGTATGAGCCAGAGAGTGTCTTGGTCAGCATGACTGGAAATCCGGAGGGGTGGGGCGTGATTTTTTTCCCCTCCCCCTAAAACACCCCTAGCAAAGGAGCTAATTAATCCTCCCTCCAACCCTAAAAGAGGGTGTGTTTTAGTCTTAGGAAATCTGCCTGTACACCCTTTTATCCCAGCAGAAATAGTCTGTGTCTGGGAGATGGGGCTGTAACAACAGCACGGGGCTGTAGTGCATTTGCACAATGGTGGTAGGGGAAGCCAGTTTCAGAAGGCTCCGAATCAAGGCTTTTAAAACACCAAGCAATATCTTTTACCCACACAACAAAGTAACTATGCATATTGCTGAAGCACTTGACAGTACATGTGAGAGAAGAGACTAGGGAGTTGGTTACACGTGGTAAACAGTGCACCGGGATCCTCTTACAAGGGTCACTGTTTCATTTTGCTAATATCTGACTGGATGAGATATTGAGTGGAATTTTCCAGATTTAACTCTGCATAAAGTCTCCATGCTGCAGTGACCCAGCTAGCTTCTATGGCAGACATTACAGCCAAGCAGCTTTGCTGGTCCTGCAAGCATCAGCATTCTCTTAACTGGACCTGGCTTACACCTGGAAAGGCATGAAATTCCCTCCTGGCTTTAGCAAACAGCAAAAGCTACTTCTAAGCAGCTGCTATACAACTGAAAGCCCTTTGCCCAGGTTGAGTGAGGCAGGTGCCTGAACTGGAAGCTCATAACTCTTGGAAAATAAGATGCTTGGGGGCCGCTGTCCTGCTCTGCATGTCTCCCTCGCTAAAACTGAATGCAGCTGTAAATATTACGTGATTCAGAATTGCATTTATGAAGGCTTTACTGGAATATAAGTGATTGCATACATAGGGAGGCAGGTCTTCAGGTGTTGTAAATTGATGTGCTGCTTCGGTTAGTATAAACAGCAATGGTTTCATCAACTTCCATATACCTAGCTTACAATGTGTATAAACAGTGTGAATGTCATAATGAAATATTGCATCAAGGCTTTGCCTTCGTGATGGATGTATATGATGTTGGTTAATAACTACTGTGTTTCAACCAATACGCTCTTATTGTTGGGTCTTTCTTAGAATCACAGAAAATGAGGGTGGGAAGGGACCTCAGGAGGTCACGTCTACCCTACTCGAAGCAGGACCAGCCCCAACTACATCATCCCAGCCAAAGCTTTGTCTAGCCAGGTCTTAAAAACCTCCAAGGATGGAGACTCTACCAACTGTCTAAATAACTCTTGATCATCTCTGAAGGCTGCACATGAGCTGTCTGACACAGTTCCCTGTTGCAGTCTCTCTCTCGGAACTGCTTCTCTCATCCCAGTGATAAAGCAGGCTGCTTGTTATTTCCTCCTCATTTTGAGATCAAGCATTCACTCAGGCCTGAGCGGGCAAATTAGGCATATCTGCAGAAGGACCCATAGCAGCAGCGGTGCGGTGGCTGTAAAACCCAACAGAAACCTCTTTTGGAGAAACCGAATGAGTTCTGTGCTAGAAGTGTTGTAGGGTGGTCTGGCTGCTTTGCCTTGAGAGTCCCACTCCTTGATTTTTCTCCTGGCATTAAGCAGAACACAAGACTCTACATCTGGACAGCTGTGAAATCTGGACACAGCCACCTTGTTAAACTGTTTCATGCTTCTCAGTGCCCCGATGGGGATTGAGTACTGTTATGTGCCAAGTTGACTAAAGGCCTCTCCAAGCAAGTAGGTGTTCTCATCAGTTGCTTCAGTGGCTGCTTAAGATGGGTCTTGCTGTATTTTAGTCAAATGGCAAGAGTTGGTGCCAACAAATCTCAGACCAGGACCAGGATATAAGTATTTGAACAGGGCCTTATCGGGGATCAGCATTTCAGACCCCACTGCTGAATGGAGTGGTGCTGGAAATGTGTCCGTTCCCATCCAGGCCAACACAGCCCTCTCTGACTCCAGCTTGGCTTCTCTCCCCCACGTGCCCCAACCCTCTACCTCAAAAGATGCAAATTCAGTGTACCCCAAGCTTCATCTTCTCACATTCTGGCAGCATCTGATCCTCTGCCAGCCAATCTTGTCCATAACTCCAATCTGTTCCCTGTATATACACCATTATTTTAAATATTGAAAGTGGGGCTCTATGCTGGACTCACAGATGGGTACCCACTTTCTTTCCAAATGGGCAGCAAATGTTGCAGCAAACACTGCCAGCTGACCTCATAGGGACCCCCTGTAACCAGTAGCTCGCTGCACCAGCCCTGGCCCTGCTCAATATGAGGATATAAAGGCTGTGATAATTTAATTTTCTTTGGCAACTCGCTGATCTTTTTTTCTCTCTCTCTCTCCTAGGGTTTGAACCCTGGAAAAGCAATTGCTGAGATCAAGAAAATGATGTAAACTTCAAAAGAGAAGGCAGCCAGCGCATGATGCCATTGCCCAGTCAAGGCTCTAACACGCACATGCCATACCGAAATGTAATTTATATCTGAAATCAGAGAACACAGTTCCCACAGGGCTTGTTTTTTTCTATTGCTGTGCACGTACAATAAATGTTATCAAGAACAAGCCACGGGTGCCTGCTTTCATTAACAGAACTGAACTAACTTTCCCCTCTTCCCTTCCGTCTCTTGGCTGAACAAGTAAATTCCAACTGGGATCTGAAGCCAGTTGTTTTTGGTGTGTGCAGCTTACAGAAGCATTAGAGTTAGACTTTGCTCCCACATTTTGCCAACCCGGTGCCAGAAGCTGTCAGTTCTAGCCTGGCACCGAAGCAGAAATAGTTCAAAGATGCCATTAATCTAATGTTCGTTTTGGTAATAAACTACCGCTTGGGTTAAAGCTGAGGTGGAGATTTTCGGGGAGGGTGTGTGTGTGTGTGAACAGAAACGAAGCATGATGTGAAGATTCACCAGCCTAGAGACTTCTTAAGTCCAGGGGAAGGCTCTTCACTGATTTCAGTAACTGAGCTGAGCCTGGAGTGCCCGACACAAGCAGAGGAAGGGAGTAGAAGCACAGGAAGTAAACACCATTTCCTTTTAAACGTGCATGTGGCACGCTTGTTTAAACATTGCAGCACGTCGCCAAACAAAAGAGGCAGCAGGGAAGGGACTTTTAACACATCACTGCCCATATATGAAACAGTCATTTCTCTTTAAATCTCTAAAGTATGTACAATATAACGTGAATTACCTCTTTTCTCCAGTCTAGTCCAAGCTGATTTTGTGCCCCAACAGGCTTACTAAAATACAGTGCCATCAACGTAGTAGGTGCTGGGATGTCATTCAGACCGGTGCAGGAAGAGATTTGCTTGCTGCTGTTCTGCTAAGAGGGTCGTCTTGAATACGCTGGGTTCAGCCCCATTTGGGTGGTGTAGCCTATAATCCTCAGTTTGTTCAACCTCACTGCAGACCATACTTTAAAAGATAATACTAAAATATATATATATATGTCGACTTCCTGAATTCAAGCAGGTGATTGTGAAATGGCAGCAATGGTGAAATAAAGATAACTGAAAGAACCAACCACAGGGGTTCTGTTTTGTTGTGCAGCGGATTGGACCTATAATGCAGTTAAATGTCATAGGAGCCAAGGACTTCGAATTTGCTGTGCATCCAGCTCAGCATGGCCAATGAGAGATGGCATGAGGATTTATTCCTCTCCTGCACTGCTAGGATTCACAAGACAGACCCAGAGCTTTCCCCTAGGAAGCTGCGGGTATAGAAAATCGGGGGTGGAAGGGCCCTCGGGAAGCAGGACCAGCCCCTGCTACATCATCCCAGCCAAGCCTTTTTTGTTCTCATCTTTAATGGAAAATAATCCCATCAGCTAAATCTATTCCAAATCCGTGTGAATCACTCGAGACCCAGGTGTGGCTCTGCCAGCATCCCCCACCTCCCAGCCAAGGCGGCTTCAAAACCTCCAAGCATGGAGACTGCATCACCTCTCGGGGGAGCCTGCTCCAGTGCTTCACCGCCCTCCTAGTGAGAGAGTTTCTCCTAAAATCCAACCTCAACCTCCCTTCTTGCAACTGGAGCCCATCGGGTTTGCAGACAGGATTTGCAAGGCAATAGGGGGACAGAAACTCAAAAAACAAGCCCTGTGCTTTGCTGTCCATGCAGGGCTAACGGGGAGCCGGGCTAGTCCCAGGGATGCTCCGGTCCCTGCCCGAGCGGGCGGGGAGGACTACAGCTCCCGGCAGCAGCAGCGCGGCCCTTCCGCCTGCCCCGCCGGGGACCAGCTGAGCCAGGCTCTTTGTGTCTGCGGCTCCGCGACCCGGAGCTCCCGGCTGCCGCAGCCCGGCCATGAGCGCAGGTGGGTCGGTGCGTGTCCGCCTGGGTCGGGGCATGCCCCCTTGGGTCTATGCATGCTCCGGTGGGTGGGTGCATGCCCCCCTTGGGTCTGTGCATGCCGCGTGGGGTTGGTGCATGCCCCCTAGATCTATGCATGCTCCAGTGGGTGGGTGCATGCCCCCCCTTGGGTCTGTGCATGCCCCGGTGCGTTGGTGCATGCCCCCCTGGATCTATGCATGCTCTAGTGGGTAGGTGCATGCCCCCCTTGGGTCTGTGCATACCCCGGTGGGTTGGTGCATGCCCCCCTGGATCTATGCATGCTCCAGTGGGTGGGTGCATGCCCCCCGTGCATGCCCCATGGGGGCTCACAGCTGGGCAGGGATGCAACTGAGACCCCCAGTGCTGGGGAACAAAGAGTGGGGGGGCCCCCATCAGCCCAGCTCCTCTGCCAGCCCCTGACTTCTGCATGCTACTGGGGATGCCCGCTGGGATGCAGAGTTGCCTCCCTGCTGGGCTCCCATCACTCCTTCCCAGCGCCTGGGAAGCTGGGGTGGGGGGGATATGTCTTGTGCCAGTGAACTGCCCTGGCAGGAGCCAGCAGAGCACAGCGCCCTCGAGGTCTGGGGGATAACTTGGCTTCGTTCCCCTGGGAGCAGCTGCAGGGTTCGGCCGTGCTGCGGCAGGGGTGTCTCGGAGCTGTCAGAGCAGCCCCCCTGCGGGTGCCGGCTTCGAGGGCAGGCCAGGGGGGTGCTAGGGACCAGCCTGAGCTGTCCTGGGTGTGAGCGTCCACCTGGGGCTGGGCTGGCAGGCCTGGGGCTGGAGAGCGTGTTCCAGCTGCTCCCCTCCTAGCGCCCAGCTCTGCCTATCTTGCAGGCGAGATGGAAGTGACCCTTGCCAGGCAGCTTAGCCCAGCTCCTGCCGCTTTACACCACCGCAGGAGGAGCTGGAAGTGGTTGAGCGGGGTTCCCTGCGGGTTTGCATCTCTTGCCTGGAAAGCCCTGCCAGGGCGGCTCTTCCACACCCTGGCTCTCTCTTATCTACAGGCAGCAGCGCCTAGCATCAGGGCTTCCAAGGGCAGGTTCGACAGACCTCCGAGATGGTTCAGATTGGGGCAGGGATTGAGCAAAGTGATGCCTTGAAGTCCTTTCCAGTCCTATTCGACATAGTCACAACAGCGTAAGACCTAGTGTGGCTGCGTTCGTGCCGGTTTCCCATTCTGTGACCGTCCCCTTGGTCCCTGCCTACGGCACAGACATTTAACCAGCTTTGTACATTGAAGTTGTGGCGGATGCAAACCAGCTTTGCTGGTGTTTGTCTTGGTTGGAAGAAAAGCAGTCAGCTGGATTTTGGCTCCTAGTTTTTAAAAAGCCTGGGCATCAATAGGCTCCTTCTATAAGTAATAAATGCTGAAACTTTTCTTTCAAGACCCTTTTAACGGGAGAGAAGCCGTGCGCCTGAAGACCCTTGTTCACATAGAGCGCGGGTCTGCAGCGGACGTGGGGAAGTGAACGATGCTTGGAGCAGTGTTGAATGCACCGGGATGAGAGAAAAAAAATACAGCCCCATCGTTTGCCTTGCTTGGCATCACAGCTGCGCGGGTCCTGGCGCTGCAAGTGGTGTTAAGCAAAGAGACGGCAACCCCGACCAGGAACCAGCAGCTTTTGTGGGGCTTGGTCAGGATGAGGCCTGCTTGCGACTACAGGGAGGGTGGAACATGTTTCCGGGGTTTGCGAGTTTTTTTGGTCTTCACAGCACCAGGAGAGAGCTTTGCCCCCAAAATGAGGGCTGCCCTTGTAACAATGGCATCTTCCTGTGCCGATCGGGGCAGCTGTGCCAGTGTGACGGGAGCCTTGACTGCTGTTGCAATGAATATGTGCACTGTGTTCCCACCCCAACCAACACACCTCTATAAAACCCAACTGTGACAAAACTGAAATTGGTTTGGGGAAGGGAAATGACTGTGCAGTATGGACTCCTTCTCTACTTCATTACAGGTTTCGGTTCTTCGCAGCCTTGGGCACTAGTTTGCATGTGAGCACTGAGGTGTCTTCATTAGTTGCCTGGGGTTTCACAGGCACAGTTAGGGTTGTTGGGGGTTTTTTCAAATGTGTGACTACAGTTATGATAAAGGGGCTGCCTTGCGGGTGAACTCGTTGCTTTGTTCGAAGCAGGCTGGGTGAATGCACTCGGAGAGAATGATCTCCAGCAGCTGCTGGCTTGGCTTGGAGGTTCACTGCAAGCCTTGCTCGGGGTCAAGGGATTGGCCTTACAAGCTTTGGGGCAGTCGGAGGACTTGATTGTGCCAGCTAGGACCAGCTATGGAGCTGAAAGTCCCGTACAGACTCCCCATCTGCTGTTTAGCCAGTGCAGCTCAACCCCTGGCTGTTCCAGCTGTGCATCCAGCTGTGGCCTAGCTAGTGCATCTCGGTGCTGGGGGGCAGCCCTGCGATCCCAGCCAGGCGTGTCAGCAAATACATTTCAGCCCTGCAGGACTGCGATGCTTCCTCTTCCAGACTGGGGGCAGCGAGGGATGCTAAACTGTGCGCCGACTTTGAGATGCGGAGCTAGCAGGAAG